TCCAACCTTGATTCCGATCTCTCTCCCTCCCGTTCCCAACCGCGACCCCACCCCATCTTCGATCCCAACCGCGCCCCTACTCTACGGCCCTCCTTACCCGACCTCAATCTCAACCCCATCCCACTTCCCAAGCTTTCTTCACCTCATCCCCTCTTCGCTCTCGCCTTGACCCCTCCCCGAACGCAATCCGATCCTACCCCATTTAATCCCAATCCTAATTCCATCCCAACCTCATCCCGATCCAATCCCGATTCCATCCCGATCCCAACCCGAACCCATCCCGATCCCATCCCAGTCCCAACCTGACCCCACCATTTAGATCCTAAGACAACGCTTTTCGGTTCCACGCACCTCGCCTAATCTTCTATTCCAATCTCGGCGCTCCCACTTCGTTCCCATCTCGTCCTCCCCCAGATCCCACCCCGAACGCAACCCGACCCTACCCCATCCCGATCCCAACACAACCGCTCCTTGATCCCATCCCATCTCATCCCGACCTCAACCCGCCCCATTCCTGACCCAAGCCCGACCCCAACCCGTACCCATCCCGATCCCGTCTCATCTCCAACCTTACTCCATCCTGAGCCCAACCCGATACCAACCCATTCCATCCCGATCCCGTAATGATCCCACCCCCAATCCCTTACTGATCCCTTCATCCACACCCCCCTCCCCCAACTCTTATCATCGATCTCCAATCTTCGATCTTCCCCCCCCCTTGTACCTGACGCGCCACCACCACCCTCCTCCGCCCTCAACCTGGAGCTCTCCCCACCCAACATCAATCCGATCTCCTCCGCATCCTGACCCCCTCCCAATCCTCTCCGACGACACCCCGTGCCCCCCCGCCACTTATTCAATCCCGAGTAACCCCCATCTCCCCGCATCATCCGCATTACCCATATCCTTTGTGAACTCTTCCCGCTACTCATCTTCTTCCCGACAATCCCACTCACCCGACCTTCTAATCATCGCACCTACTCTTCTTCTCCATTCTTCGTCCTTCAACCCCTCCTCACGCAGTCGTAGACCATAACTCATAGAGCATAGACCCATTGTTCACACAACAGTCCCAGCATCTCATCTCCCCGGCCTACGCAGTCTCCTACAAACAAACCTCAATGAAGGAGAACTTCTGGGTTCAATTCGACAACATTCAACCAGGTCTCCACGGATTATTGGTAGACAGACTCGAGAGGCAGTACACAGCAAACAAAGTGCTGGAATGGATCCTGCCGACGCCAGATTATCTGGCACCGCATTGTGGCACTTTGACAGCAATCTTGGATGTGCAGACGGACGACCCCCCTGTTTTCCCACAAATCTGGAAATTCCAGATTGAAAACAGGGTGATCGAAGTAAGGATTTCTACAAGAACCTCACCAATCTGCTTCCGCTGCAGAGAAAGAGGTCACCTTGGTACCGACCTGATCTGTCCCAAGTTCCCGAAGCAAACGAAAGAAAGGAAACTTCTACCAAACATGTTGGTAGAAGTGGAAGATGCACCGGGTATTTGGTATGTAGCTGATTCGTGCTACGACGGGTGGGTCTTTGATGACAACCTTGACGAACCTGACTGGGTCTGGCACTTCGCAGACCAATCTCCCCCCACCAAAAAGCCAGACATCTTCCCCCCGGCAGACAGCAGATGGCAAAAGAAAGCAACGGGGAAAGTAAAAGGCAACCCAACGAAAATTAACACCAGTCCCATCACGGATTCGCGGGTGATCAGAGAGGAAAAAGCAAGGGAAGATTTGTTGTGGGATCTTGACACAGTAAGGGAACAAATTGAACAAGAGTACAACAAGGAACCAGGTTCATTCAGAGAACTGCTGAAACATGTCGTACAACAAACTTACAAGAGAAGGAACAAAACTCAGGCTGACAACAAACGCCAGCTACAAGGCGAAGGTGGTTCATCTGAGAAGGAATCCAGTCCCAAAAGAAGGAGAGCAGAAGATTCAGTGGAAAGAGAAGGAACGAGAATATCAGGAATTGAAACGGATGGTGAAGGAATGGATATGGATCTGACAGGAGACCAGGCAGACAAGGAGTCTGAGGGGAAGGATTCAGCTCCAGCTGCACCCTCCAGAGAAGAGGAGGATGGTCCCACACAGTCCCTGACTTGGCTCAGAGACTATGTGGAGTGGGCCAAAAGGGAAAGAGAACATGCTTTTGATATCCGTGTAGCCTGCTTGAAGCATGCAGAGAGGTCGCAGGCAAACGGAAAAAGAGATGCAACAACAGGAAACAACAACTCCTCCAATCAGTACGAAGTCCTCAAGAAAGTTAAATCAGAGGAATTCTCTGAATATGCAGCCTTCAGATATGCTGAGAAGAAAAGGGCAAGGGAACGAGGAACAGAGGACAAGGATAAGACCATCCCCACAACCAAAGACAATTTCYAGGTYTTACRACCCAAGGYAAGAAAATTGGGCAAGAACCAGAAACGGAAGGAAACTAACGATGACCAAACAGATGCAGAAGAGAAACCGGAACGAGACCTCTTGGAGAAAGAAGCGGCCGTAGTTCTGTCCCAAACTGAAAAGTTGAGAAAGTGGAACAAAGAATATGCACCCGAATTCACTACTATCTCTCAGATTGCGGGTGGAAGGGCACCAATGGTACAGGAATCGGCCAAAGCAGCTCGCAGAACAATGAGAAACATTCGACCCCTTATTGCAGCGAGGTACGTAGCAAACGCAAAGGAATGGCAGATCGCAACGGATATAGCCTTCAAAATCCCCCATTTTGTTGAGGGGGAAAACGTGGTGAAGGTACTCAAGGAGCAAGTAACTATGGAATCCCCACTAGGGCTCTTTGAGACAGTATCCTTGGAAACTGATCAGGTTGATTCCAGCACACAGGAAGACACAGAAAGTGTCAAATTTGGAAAGGGCAAGATGACCAGAAACTCCCCGAGGGCCTTCTCACCCCTTATAGCCAAAATGCCAGAAGAGATGAAGTTGAGAACCAGGATGCTCTGGAAACCATGGCGAACAGTGGCCGAAGTCCCTTACAGCATCCTAGCCGGTGTAGGTGTTTCGGTTGAGCTGACGGCCACAGCCTTGGCTCAAATTGTCCAATCAGGACAGCTGGAAGGAGACGAGGACTTAGATGCAAGAGCTTTCGCCTTGGATTGCAACATGTTCTACAAAAGCGAAGCCTCTGACGGTTCTGATTGGGAAGGGGACGATGAAAGTGAGATCCTGGGCCGGGAAAAGGTCCTAGATAGGGAAGAGCTTGGCCAGACCGACCCAGAGATTCTGGGCAAGGCAGATCACTCTGCAGGCTCCCCATCAAAGGACAATGGAATAGGGTCTTCTCAGGCAGGAACTGGCGAAGGGACAAGCTCAGACACCTCTCCACCCTCCCCTACCTAGACGGTCCGCCTCTAAAACTCTCTAAAATCTGACCCAGCTGCTGTGATGGAGAGCTATAGAAGACGAGCGAATGAGGTAAGAGACCGCACGGATTGGAAGAGTCAAGGACTAGTTCTTAGAAGCTGGAATGTCAACGGTTTAGGGAACATAATTGAAAAAGAAGAAAAATGGAACGACATACTATCCGGGATTTCGATGAGGGATAGAAAGCCAGCTGATATAGTCCTACTACAGGAAACTCACCTCACCTCCTCACCAGCACACAACAGAATTCGCTCTTTCATGGCAAAAAAACTAGGCGGCCTGAAGGATGAAATTTGGTCGGTCGATCCTCAAACAAGTACTAAGGGAACAACCATTATGATTCCCAAATCCTCACGCCTATATGCAGCAGGATCGGTAATCGACATGAAAGCCGACAAGATAGAAGGAAGGTGGTGCATGCTACATCTGAAATGGAAGAAAGAGGATTTCTTACTCTTCAATATTTATGCCCCGAACTCGCTAGCAGAAAGATCGGCCTTCCTAAGACATATCGGGGACCTGATACCACCACTAACCCCGTGTATCCTGGCAGGAGACTGGAATGTCACAATAGACCCTTCCGTGGACTGTATCTCTCGATCCTCCTCTACCCCAAACTTCTCAGAAGCAACACCAATCCAAGAAATGATGTTGAACCACAATCTGGTTGACCCCTACAGAATCCTACWCCCCAACAAGAGWTCCTTCACCTTAGTCARGAAGAACTRTGTTAATCACATGGCCTTCTCACGAATAGACTACTTCCTAGTGTCTGAAATCTTGATGGGGGCGGTCAAGGAGGCTGTAGTACTACCRCTGGCTCCATACTCAGGGCTGGATCACAAACCAACTGAATTAATCATAAGCTTTGACCAAATGGTTTCAAAGGGAGTCARCTTCCACAAGCTCAAYAATTCYCTTCTGCTGAGYCAAACCTTCCAAAGCGAAATTTGCGACTGCYGGCAAGGGTTGAGATCAACACACCTAAGCACTACTCCTCGATGGGATTGGTTTCAKAAGAGTTACTCGACCCTTTCAGATACCGTGGCCCAAGTGTCTAGGAAGCTAGCGTCAATAAGGAAACAAAGAAAACAATCATTGGAATTTGCATTAAAAATAGYTGAGTCTAACCTGATAAATAACCCCGCCTCCCAACTATATATCGAGGTCTTYGACAAGGCTCGAGAGGAATTGGCTATGTGGAAATGGTGGGAGCTAAAAGGCCTTCAGATAAGAGCAAGGATGTCCGAATATGAACTAAGCGACTCAATGACTAGACACTTCTTYGCTCGAATCAAAGCCAACTCAAGAGCTAGCACGATARAAAGCCTAAGGTCTCACACATCCCCTGAAATTGCTAAATCTGATAGTGAAGGGATGCTGGAGATAGCTAAKAACTTCTACAAAGAACTTTACCAGKCCAAGACCGAAACACCAATACCCATCAACGTCAGAGAGGCAAGGCAGAAAATGYTGCACTACCTAGAGCAGRCAATATCACCCRATCAGGCAGAAGCGCTTGACAAACCGCTCACTTCAGAAGAAATACTCGGGGCTCTACAAAGCATGAATAACAACAAAACCCCAGGAATTGACGGCTTAACAAAAGAGTTCTGGGAAAAATTATGGCCCTTGCTTGRAAACGATTTACTCAACTTCTATAATGACAGTTGGTCTAAGGGGGGGCTGGGTAATCTTCTTAGCAGCAGCGTGATCACACTACTGTACAAAAAAGGTGAAAAAGACGATATTAGAAACTACAGACCCATATCACTGCTAACCCTCCCTTACAAGATCCTCGCTAAGACCCTGTCTAACCGGATCATTAAAATCATCAACAAGTGCTTCCACATTGACCAAACAGGATTCATCCCGGGCCGCTATATTCTAGACAACGTCATGACACTAAATGAATCAGTGAGAAAAATCAGAGAAAGGAAAATAAATGCCGCCATTCTCTTCTTTGATTTCGAGAAAGCATACGACCAAGTCAACTGGGACTTTATGGAAGCAAGCATGGAAAGAATGGGAGTCGGAACGAACTTCAGAAAGTGGGTTAGGATACTCTACAAGGATGCAGTTGGCTGTGTCCAAGTTAATGGACTATTGTCTGACTGCTATCCGATATCCCGCTCGGTCCGCCAAGGGGACCCTCTAGCACCGTCAATCTTCCTTTTTGTAATGGAGGCAATTGCTTCCTTCCTGCGCAAGGATCCATCAATTCAGAGACTAGCCAGTACCGACGTAAGCTCGGCCCATCAGATGGATTTCCCTGCAGCTATCATGTTCGCTGATGATTTAACAGTCCTGATTAGAGCATCAGACTCCTCCTTCAAAACACTAGCCAAAGCAATGGAAGCATTCAGGCTAGCCTCAGAAATGAGGATCAATTGGGGGAAAACAATTGGCTGGTGGCTTTCCGACAACGAACCCCTTTCTCTCCAAGGAAGCAAGGCGGCTATGACTTGGCAAACACCGGATACACCCACACGCTATCTAGGAATCCTGATGACAAAAGAAGGACTGGCGCCCCAAATGGGCCCGTCCATGCTGGCCAAASAGATTAACAAAATCGGAAGGTGGGGCAACGCTTTCACTTCCCTTATAGGCCGAGCGCTGGTGCTCAACACGYCGGTCTTCTCAATGATGTGGTRCATTRCTTCTATCTGGACAGTTCCCGACAGCTCGATTAAGGAACTGAACAGACGAGCCAGGATATACCTATGGACAGGTGACCCTAATAAAGATAAGGGCATATCAAAGATAGCCTGGCAGTACATCACAAGGGAACCACGAAATGGAGGTCTGGGAACCATTGATCCCGGAACTGAAACCAAAGCTCTCCAAATTAAATGGATCATCAAATTGCTGATGAATCGGGACAGCGCCTGGAACAATTTGGCACTGGACAGCATTAGATCGATAGCCCCGATTCCCTCCCCGAATGACATGTCCGGTCTGTATTGGGTAATGAACAAAGAATGGGTAATATCCACAGGTCGGAGAAATCGGACGAGGAATAACAGGACCAATGACCACCGGCCACCCACCCCCTACTGGCCAGCACTGCTCCGATCGTGGAGGAAAATAATCCCTAATAAGATCAACAAACCCAAATCCAAGGATG